GCATGGCCAAAAGGTGCTTTCATGTAAGAGCACGCTAGGTGGTGATCTAAGACGTGAATTTCTATCAACTAGCCTGAGATGAAAGTCAGTTAGGCCCCTTGCCCTGGTATGGTGTGACTCATTCCCCTAGTGCCCCCTTTTATGTAATGTCAGGTCCAGTCCCTTTGGAAAAACTCTTCAATTGAAGCACAGATTTTCAATTTCTTTCTCTTTATGAGCGATAACCGTTCGTGGCCTTTGCTTGTGAACTTCGACAGTCTATCTTCTTCTTTCATGAGTTCTCCCCTTCGCGGTTTTTCTACCATTCAGTCTTGTAGTAGTCTTTACTTTGATGTGTAAATAACCTAGCTTAGGGCAAAATTCCTTCTTTCAAGACTCAGTTTAAACCCATCCTGAAGTTGTGTTCATTTTTCATTTCTTATCTATCTCGAGTGTTGGAAGTGGTGTGGTGGAGCAAGGTCTTTCTTTTCGTTGTTGACAAATTGACTTGACTTCGCAAAAAAGGCCTCATCTCTAGAAGTCCGGCTCGCGAGGCATCCCTCTCGCATTGGAGTTCAAACTGAAAATTACCAAAAAAGTCATAAACCTATTATAATTATATCAATTCAGTTTTAAACTTTTTTTTGACCAATTCAGTCCTAAACCTTTTGCAATTGTGCCAATTTAATTCATCCTGCCACTTTTGACCGGCTGGCGCTGACGTGGACGCAGGCTGGCTGACGTGGCATTATTTTAATATATTTTATTTTCGAATTTTTTTTCCTTTCTCTTTTTTTTTTCTTTCCGGCTAGGGGGAGGCTTGCTCTCGCCGGCCACTGGGGAGGCTCGCCCTCGCCGGCACTGGCGAGGGCGAGCCTCGCCTAGCTCCGGCGAGGGCGGAGTTCGCCATGGCTAGGCGAGCTCGACCTCGCCAGATCTGGGCGAGGTCAAGCTCGCCCAGCCATGGCGAGCCGCCCTCGCCGCCACTGGGCAAAGTCGAGCCTCGCCATGGTTGTGCGACGGCGAGGACGGAGCTCGCCATGACTGGGCGAGCTTGACCTCGCCCAGATCTAGCGAGGTCGAGTCTCGTCATGGCTGTGTGACGGTGAGGGCCGGCGATGGAGGAGCTCGAAATTTTTTTTATTCTTTTCCTTTCTCTGTATTTTTTTTTTGCCTTTCCTTCTTTTCCGGTGGCCGAACCGGCCAGGGGCTAGGGCTGGCAACTGGGGAGGCTCGCCCTCGCCAGCACTGGGCGAGGCGAAGGCGGAGCTCGCCATGGTTGGGTGAGCTCGACCTCGCCCGCAGCCATGGCGAAGCTCGACCTCGCCAAATTTGGGCGAGGTCGAGCTCGCCCAGCGGCGGCGAGGGCAGAGCTCGCCCAGCCATGGCGAGTTCCGCCCTCGCTGGAGCTGGGCGAGGCTCACCCTCGCCAGTGCCGACGAGGGCGAGCCTCCCCAGTGGCCGGCGATCCTCCCCCTGGCCGGTCCGGCCAGGGGGAAGAAGGAAAGAAAAAAAAAAGAGAAAGGAAAAAAACATCAAAATTTTTTTATTAAAATAATGCCACGTCAGCCGCCCGGGCGCCGGCCAGCATCCACGTCAGCACCGGCCTGCCAAAAGTGGCCAGATGGACTGAATTGGCACAATTGCAATAGGTTTAGGATTGAATTGGCCCAAAAAAAAATAGTTTAGGACTGAATTGGCACAATTGTAATAGATTTAGGGCTTTTTTGGTAATTTTCCCGAGTTCAAACCTGCCTCGCTTGTGACATTTTATCTTTCCCCTCTGCATTGTCAAGTTAAGGGTGAGTCCCTCTAATTTCAGAGTTGGCACTAGAGAAACTGAGAAAGCATCCAAGTACTGGGGTGTGGCGAGGACCAGAGGAGGGGATGAGAGCAAGAAGAAAGAAGGTGAGTGTTCGGTAATTATAAATTTTTATGAGGTTGTTGACACCAAAAAATGATCAATTTTTTTATTATGGACAAGTGGTAGACTCGGTCGACAAGAATAAAGTTTGGTCGAAACAGAACTAATTAGTTAACAAAATAATAGACAAACCACAATCTTGTCAATAATGAAAGAAAATGGACAACACGGTGTGAAAATTGTTGACAAGAGCCTTCACAAGGACTTGAGAGACGTTGAACGACGAAGTCATCAACAGTAAGCAATCCCAGAGTTTGGTTAAGTATTAAAACAATGTTATTAATGAATAGAGCAAAGGTCTACCTATACGTCGATCGAAGACAATGATGATGGATAGACCATAGCACATTACTGATCATTACTAGATAGTAGGATATCGTGTATAGAGGTTGTAACTCCTTATCAGTAACCTCACATAGGTTACGAAGTAATTTGTAAATTCAAACACCTTGAATGGTGGTTTATATATACCTAAGTTGTACTCTTTGTAAAGGTTTGTCCAGTCTATCACAATATACTAGTTCTTGCAGATGTATGTTTATCTTTACTTTTTTTATAAATCTATCTTTCAACATGTTGAATTTCAAGTACTGGCAATTAAATTCCTTTAGTGTCCCATCCAAAATCAGTAAAAGTTTATTTCACAACTTTTATCTATTCAATTTGATCCATTATATTTAAAAGATCTTTTTTTTTGTTTTTTTTCAACGAGACAGAGGCACATCTGAGCGCATAATAAAATATCTAGATGCCATCATCTCGTTTATCAGCAGATGGATACTGCTAGCCTAAAGACATCACGACTCAATGTGTAGCGGTTGATGATATGTAAACTACTTAATCGAAGCACATATAACACTGTGCATTCATCTTGCTAAATTCAAAGGATTCCGAAGTTGTTCGAGACCATCTCTCGAGTATTAATGCGTGTCCCTGAATAACTATATCAAGATCGGTCGGGTTTTCAGAGAGACTAACATTTACGTCGGTAACCTTTCTCACGTTTCGTTTTCTTTCTTTCTTTTCCCCGAGTAAATATGCTTTTTCTATTGGCTTGGAAAACCTTTCAATGATTTTGCTCCTCCTTTTTTTAACCTTTGACGGCCGCAAGGGATTCGTGTTCCCCCAACTTCTCGTCCCATGCTTCCCGAGTTCTCATCATCTTTCTCTCTGTGTTTGCCGTGCGAGGCGTGAGCCTTTTGCTTTGACACAGTCAAGAATAGGAAAAAAGTCGAGACATATTCATGTAGTGCTAGTCATTTTCAAAACACGATCCACCACCGCGCCCCCCCCACCACCGCAGAGACATCACACTCTGCGCCGGATACTCGTGAGCCCATCCAATCCCAGCCGCTTGATCGTGTGGGGAGCTCACGTGGGCTCCGCGGGTTTAGACGGTTGAGATCTGGCGAGCTCACGGGTACAAAGATAGGGACCCTTTTCCCACGATCGCGTGGAAAAAGGGGAAAACATAGAAAATGCGAATATTCACGCTTTAATCATGACATGCACCGCCACTAACACCGCAAACTCTGACGTTGTATCATTTCCTCCCATCACGCTCTTACATTCTCAATCATTAGTTATCCTCCCAACCCCCACAAAAAAATATACATATAAGAAAAAAAAAAGAAGGGAAAAATCTAATCTTCTCTACCACTGCTTCTTATTCCAAAAGATTAATATCACGAAAAACTTCAATTTGATATATTTGTGATAATTTTATCTTAAATTATTTTTTTTTCATAAAAAACTCCAAACTGGTACACATATAACAAATTTACTCCAAATTAATATTTTGATCACTAAAAATCTCAAACTAGTATATTTGTGATAAATTTACCCTCCGTTATTTTTCGTTAAATTGAATTAATATCACAAAAAATCACAAACCGGTATATCTGTGATAAATGGAGGGTAAAATAAAAAATGGATACATCAGTTAACTGTCGAGTGTCATTTAACAAAGCAATTTGACAGTAAAATTTAAATAAAACAAACTAAGGGTAAATTTGTCACAAGTGTACCAGTTTGAAATTTTTGGTGGTCAAAAAATTAGTTTAGGATAAAATTGTCACAGGTGTACCAATTTTGGGTTTTTCGTGATATTAACTCTATTCCAAAAGAACCCAAAAAAAGAAAAAGAGAAAAAAAAAGAGAGGAAATCACTGCTGGAGGCTCTCCTGATAATCATTAGTGCCTGTTAATCATGTGAATAAATTTGAAAGGACAAATTCATCATACAAATAATGCTCCTTAAGATTTTGATTAGCTTGGTTTAATATCATTTCGAAGATGCTTCTTCTACACGATATGCAATAAAAGTGTAATGCTAGCTAGGTATACTAAAGTTGGTCGGCAAAATTGACACGCTATAATATGTAACAGACTGTAAGTAGGCATATGAGTAAGTCGGTCATCTTACCCAGCAGCAATTTAGCGCATCACTTAATATATCAATTTTGTAAACCAAGCTTAAATAAAGGTAGCGTTTCTTACAACAAAAAGCTCGATGGGTGAGGATCTCATAATGGTTATCTCGAGCATAAACATGTCTAAGGATATCTGACTTTGCCTCTTCGCTGCGTGTGATATCTCCATTTAATTGCATATATGTCTTGTAATATAAATCCCACCCTTTGACAAGCATTACATTAGAAGAAGTAATGCTACAAATACTAAAAGCAATTTCTCAAGTAATATAACAATAGGACTAATTCCCCCAAAAAGCACTAACTTTATCTTGAGTGAAAATTTGGGCCGAACTTTTTTTTGTCTCAATAAAAATTGCCAACTTTTACTCGAATCACAAATCTGGCCTCCCGTGATGTGAAATTTTTAATTGTTCGGGCTAGATTTGGGACTCGAGTAAAAGTTGGTGATTTTTTATGAAACAAAAAAAAAAGTTTGGGCAAAAATTGTCACTCAAGGTAAAGTCGAATATTTTTTTTTTGGAATTAGGCCTCATTGTAATTGGTGTTGCAATAAATAAATCAATCATTCATTTGCAATTTAGAGAGAGAGAGAGAGAGAGAGAGAGAGAGAGAGAGAGAGAGAGAGAGAGAGAGAGAGAGAAGTATAGGGGGGTTTAAGCATCTTAAAATTGTTATTGGAATTAGACTAAAAGATACATAACGACAAAAAAAAAGGGGAAAGGAAAAGTAGTGAAATCGATTAAAGCAAGAAGGAGATGCATGCGGGAGCGACCGCTTTCGTCCCGATCACGAGTCGACAGGATAGGTAGCATGCGAAAGCTCCTTTATCCACTCGAACGTTCGATGACGCGACGCCTTCCTCTTCGCCTCCGCCGCCGCCGCCGCCGTCGTCATCAGCCTGATCTTCCCGACCACCTCGTCGTCGTCCCCCGCATTGCTCGCCCTCCTCGCCTGACCGCCGCCGCCCATCACGGCGAAGACGCTGGACGAGACCGCGTCCCCCGAGCACCTGCACCCGCCGAGAAACGACCCGTTCAACAAGAACCTCTCCCTGTTCTTGCTCTTGCTCTTGTTGTCGTTCGTCTTCTGCTCGACGTTCTTGTTGTTGCCGCTTGCGAGACCTCCGCTGTTGACGCTGCCGTTGCTGCTGCTGCTGCTGCTGTTGCGGCTTATCAAGCATTGGTTGTCGGCAGGGCCGTTGACCGTGCTCTTGCGGGGCTTCAGCTCGGCGAGTCCAATGTCGGGCGTGCGGATCAAGCCCAGCCGAAAGAACTCCCACATCGACGACGGCGGCGACTTTAGGCTGCGGGTCCTGAATTTCCCGGGGGAAGGCCCGATTTGGGGCTTCGGGCTCGGGTGGGCGTGAAACGGGTTGACCCGGTGGAAGCTGGCTCTCGACGAGGAGGAGTTGGTCATAGACGACGACCGCGACGTCGAGGAGGACGAGTAGCGACTGCTCCCGTGGCTGTTGCTCCTGCTGCTGCCCATGCTCGAGGCCCGGGTGCTGATCGACCCGATCTCCACGAAATCCGACCTCGACACGGACCTCCTCCCCTCGTCCCGCAAGGAGTCGGAGCTCACGGAGAGGCGGAGAGGGAGGATCTGGCCTTGGAAGAACAGCTCGTCGGCCGCGCACATCCGCCACCCGGAGGAGCAAGGCCCGCCGACCCGCGACCCGAAATCGAACTCCTGGTCCTCCGTCCCGCACGACCCGGCTCGGTCCTGATCCTCCCGGCGACCCTCCTCCGTCCTCGATTCTTCGCCGTCGGCGGCCCGGGAGTCTCCGCCGGCCAGATGGAGCGGGAGGTCGGAGAGCGACAGCGCTTCGTCCTCGTCCTCATCCGCATTGTTGCCGTAACGGAGCCTTTCCTCCATCTCCAGAGTCCCAAGACAGAGAGAGAGAGAGAGAGAGACAGAGTTTGTGCTGTGTGTGGGGGGTGCTAAAGGGGTGTTGAGATACCGAGAGAGAATGTCTGTTGGGAGGGGAAAAGAATGAATGGAGCGAGGGACAGATTTATAGGTGAGAGAGAGAGAGAGAGAGAGAGGAAGAAGCATTTTTTGAATGGGGCCGAGGCTTAGAGAGAGAGAGACATGTGGAAGATGTAAGAGAAGTATTAAAGTGAACTGCAACAGGGGAGGGCAGAGCAGAGAGAGAGAGAGATGGGGAAGAGAGAGAGTTTTCTTTTTCTAAACTTTTTTGCAGGCGGTCCAAAGATGAGTGCTGTTGGTGTTAGCGGAAGAGCCGGCCATATCTGTGAAGGAAGAAACGAGAGAATAAAACAGGTGAAAAGAGAAGGGGGAAGGAAGTCTCGCTTTCGCTACCAAGGGGAGTGGGATTCTGGCATGCACACAGGTGGGGTCAAGAAGGAGAAGAACATGGAGAGCCGATTTTTTTTTTATATATATATTTAACTTTTTGAATGCATAAAAAAGAATGTGCCTTTTTTATATGCACGGGGTTTCTTTATTTTATTTTTTTGGGTGGGGGCAAAGATTATGCCTATCTTGTGTGTTTATTGGATTCCATAGGCCGCTAAAGTACGTTTCTCCCGTTAAAAGAAAGATGGATAAGTACACCGGAAGTCTTAAAATTTGCTACGGATTAAAATAGTGCAATCAAATCCTTAAACTTGTCACAAAAGTGCGGCCGAGTCCTAAAATTTTCGCAAAAGTTTAACCAACAGAAGGACTTGATTGAACCAATTTGACAAGTTTCAGGAGTTGATTGCACTTTCGCAACAAGTTTCCGGTCTTAATTGCATTTTTTGAAAGTTTTAGTACTTCATTGCACTTTCGTAATAAATTTTAGCAGTTCTAATGCACGTATTTCAAAAGAAAAAAATAGACTCATTCTACAAATGATATGATAAAGTAAATTGCGATATCTAAAGACTCATGATCCGACGAGATTTGAAGCGAGTGATGTCGGTGTTCATAAAACTCTAACCTGACGAATTACAGCATGGGCAATTTTGATAATTTTATCTTATTTTTAATGATTGAAAACAATAAGAGAGAACCCTGAAATGCCATAGGTAAAAAAGAAATATGTTATATTGATAATTTTAGCTTAATGTCTTGAATTATCCCATAGGGTGCCACTTTCCTTGTATTCAGCCGTGCTCGACATTGAATCTATAATTTTTTCAATCAAATCGAAGCGAAACGATGGGAAATTTTTTACTTTCCTTCCTATATTTTCGCTACTTTTCTAATCAAGTTTCTGTGTTTTTAATTTTCCTAATCAAGTTCTTTTATTTGACAAGAAATGTCTAATCAAATCATTTTGTTTCAAAATTCGGCCAAATTCAATTTCGCAGATAACATAGGATAAACATTACCGATGTGAACTTGGATAGAGATTTGGTAGGAGATAAAAAAATCTAAAACTAATTTATTAGTTCGTCGTCGACCTCCCGGGAAGGGTGTCCACATATGCAATATGAAGTCCATGTCATACTCCGTCAATCTCCGACGACTACGTCAACTAAATTTGGCCGAATTTTATACGGGAGGGACTTGATTAGACTTTTTTTTTATGACCCGGACTCCCACACCGACTGCACTATAAGAGTCCGACCAGCTAGGCACTAACCGGGGAAGAACTAGCCAAATCCACATACTAGTCTTTATGTCAATCAAGAGTGTAATAAGGTGAAGGGCAGAGAGACTTGAACTTGATATCAGTCACCCTCAAGACCAAAATCCTTACCACTCCACCAACCCCTTTGACGGTGATTACACATTTGTTTACAAGTAGAAGAACTTTATAATAATAAAAAATTGAAAGTACACGAATTTGATTAGAAAAATAATGAAAATACATAAACGAAAAGTTGAATTTTCAAAAAGAAAAAACAGGAGGATAATTTTTTGTTTTAGATTAGAAATTCTTCCTTCAGCACAACAACCAAGGAAAATCATTTTTTTTTCCTCCATCTTCTTTCTTTCCTCCTCAAGTCACCTTCATCTTATTTCCACCGTTTTTGCTCCCTGAACTTCCTTTCCTTATTTTTTCCCTATGAATTATCACATCATATGAATTTCTCGCCTTGTCAAAATTTGATTTTTGCTTTTTACTATGAATTACTAGAAGTATTGTACTCGCATAATAGCATGTGAATATATCTTTATTTACTAAATAAATTTATCTTCACGTGAACTTACAGAATTTGTTAAAAATACTTGAACTTTTGTCATGACCTTTTATTTATCTTCATCCTATATAGTTTGAGGAACTCTCATGAAACCATTTAATATAATCCTTTTTGAAAAGGCTTTTCCCTATCCTTTTCGAGGAAAACAAAGCTACATTGAATGAAGCATGTGATGAGGATAAGTTCGATAATCTGTTGCACGAAAGTTTTCAATGTCCTTTTTCCACAAAGAAAAAAAAATGTCTGGCTCCAAATTGGGCAAGAGCTATGTTATTATGTACAAAATGCAAATGTGAAAGTCACAAGTACTAACCTCCAAGGTTGGCACTTGGCATCGTTAGTTGGGATGTCGAGAAATTTTTAGTTCAAAAACTGAAAGTTGCCCATTCAAATCTTACCAACTCTGTATAATCTGCTATAGGCAAGATACCCACACAAACCAAAGGTTTGAACTGAACCGATTATGGGGCTTGCAGGATACTATGTTGAACGGACCTTTAGGGGGAAAATTACCAAAAAAGTCCTAAAACTTTTGCAGTTGTGCAAATTCAGTCCTAAACCTTTTTTTTTTGCCAATTCAGTCTTAAACCTTTTGCAAATCAGCCAATTCAGTTCTTTTGGCCGGCTGGCGCTGACGTGGCCGCCGGCCGGCTGACGGGCCACCGGCCGGCATCGACGTGGCAATATTTTAATATTTTTTTTTATTATTTTCGAATTTTTTTTCTTTTTCTTTTTTTTTTCTTTTCCTTCTCCCCCCTGGCCAGGGGGGAGGCTCGCCGGCGAGGGCCCAGTTCCAGTGAGGCGAGCTGGGCCCTCGCCGCCACTGGGCAAGCTCGCCCAGCTTCGGCGAGGCGGAGCTCGCCATGGCAGGGCGAGCTCCACCTCGCCAGATCTGGGCGAGGGCGGAGCTCGCCCAGCCAAGGCGAGCTCCGCCTCGCCTAGCGGCGGCGAGGGCCCAACTCGCCTCGTCGGAGCTAGGCCCTCGCCGGCGAGCCTCTCCCCTGGCTAGACAGGCCAGGGGGGAGAAGGAAAAGAAAAAAAAGAAAAAAGGAAAAAAATTTGAAAATAATAAAATATTGCCACGTCGATGCCGGCCGGCGGCCACGTCAGCGCCGGCCGGCCAAAAGGATTGAATTGGCTGATTTGCAAAAGGTTTAGGACTGAATTGGCAAAAAAAAAAAGGTTTATGACTGAATTGGCACAACTGCAAAAGGTTTAGGACTTTTTTGGTAATTTTCCCGACCTTTAGGTAACCAAGTATTTGCATTTGTGCCCTTAGATTATCATAAGGAAAAAGAAAATAAAGTTATAAGTACATGCAAGTGAGTGAATAGACCCATAGAAAATCCTTGAGTAGGAGGTATAAGCAAGATACCCCCAACTTAATGGGAGAAAAAAAAATACAAACCTTGCTATAAATAACATCTTGAAAATTTCTTAAATTAGACAAATAGGTTTAGAAATGTGATTAGATCTTTTAAATGAAATCAAGCATAAACTAATCTTACTGCTGTATTCCTCCATTAATCCATTTGGTATCTCTGTTTTTTTTTAGGGATATGTTCACTGGAAGTCCTAAAAATTTTCATGAAAGTACATTTGGGTCCTAAAATTTGCAAAAAGTGCAATAAAGTCCTAAAACTTGTCAAGTTTGTTCAATCGAATCATAAAGTTAACTCCGTTCAATTTGGCTAACGAAAAATGCTAACATGACTTTTTTATTTATTTATTTTTTCTATCCTACATGGTGATGACATGGATTATTATTATTATTATTATTATTATTTCAATACAAATTTTAAAAATAAGCTATATATATATTTTTAAAAGGAGGAGGAGGAGGAGGAGAAGTCAAGTAGGGAGGGCTGCAAGCCCTTGCTGCCGTCGCCATACCATCGCTGGGAGGGGCCAATTTGACAAATTTTAGGATTTTATTACACTTTTTGCAAGTTTTATGACTTAATTGCACTTTCGTGATAAATTTTAGGACTTTCGGTAAACAAATCCATTTTTTTTAATATACGTCCTTCCTTTTCTCATATAAGTGGGAAGAAGAACTCTTTAGTTTTGCGAAAAGTTTATTTCCAAAATAAATCTATTGGTATGGAATCATCAATTAGTAGATATGCCCTCGTTTTTGGTATCGAATTGAGCAAATAAAGTGGCAAACATAGTAACACGCAATGTCTTTATTTTCCTAGGTTTGAAAAGTCGAACAATTCCACGAATAAATGAGAAGGCGTCCACGCATGCTTGATTCCTAAAAAGTGGAGGAATTCAAATTTAGAAGGTTTCACTTTCACATAATCGAATACAGCTCAGTTCGGCGTGCACTATAATTGAAAGTGGTCGATTTTCGTGAATAAAATAAAAAATAGTGGGTATATTCCCAATTGCAATATTTTAAAGACAAATGGCTAATTCATGCTATTATGTAATATAAAGAGGACCTTCTAATTTTAGGGGATTTCAATCTATTCTTTTCTTCCAAAATGTCCGTAATTACTTATCTTACAAATATCGAACCCATGGATAAAAGTTCAAGTTAATAATTCTACGTAATCTCTCACGCATTTTAATATCGAAATTTAATTTCTTTTTCTATCCGACGATAATCTTCCTGAAAAGACTTCCAATCTTGAAATATCTTATACCTTTCCACACATATTATCATATATTTCCTTCATCCCAAATGTTTATTAATAAAATATCTTTACTTAATCTTTCAAATATTGTTTTTTTTTGTGCATATTTGCTAATTTATATTTTTAAATGAAGAGGTAGTGGTGGTGCTCGTCTGTGCTTCTTTTGGGTTGGTGGGGGGGGGGGGGGGGGGTCGAATCTACAACTGGAAAATTATAGATTTTGTGGTGTGAAATGGAAGATTTTTTTTTAGGGTCTTTGGGCGGCTCACGAGTGATTGGAATGTGATTTTGAGTGGCTAAAAAGGTTTTGAACTTATTACTTTCTTCCGGAAGAGGGGCATAAAAAGGTGGGGTGGGTTCTATCCTTTACCCGTCCGGCGGGGAAGGAATTAGTGGTCCGTAGTGGCCAGTCCATGCTTGCTTCATGTAGGTTGCATAGATC